AGAAGCTGACTGCTGTTTGACTTTGAAAGCTAAGTAGGGTAAGGGTTAGGGTTATTACTTGGATGGGAGATGACCTCAGATCCCAGACAGCACCGAAGAAGAATCTGTTCTGCCACCCTGAAGCCGCTGCTAGTCAACATTTGCAATACGGAACAAGATGGATCAACAGAATACGACTCGGTACAAGGCAGATTCCTGTGTCCTTATCGCTGTTCCGTTGCACAGTGTTCTTTCCAACCAGGTAGAGCAGTTCCCCCTCTCCCCCCCCGTTTACCTTCCGTGTGCGGCTGTTGGCAATGGGAAATTCGCCTAGGCTGTCCTCATCGGTGCGGGGATCGGGCAGGCTGCGTTTCTCGAGAGGATCGGTCCTCAAAAGAGCCTCCAAGCTGCTGCCATCCTGAGAGATCAAGCCCTCTTTCTTCAGCGTCTGCTCCGTGTCTAAAGGAAGACAATCCGGAGAGAAACCCATGTTATGTCCGCAGTAGCAAACACACCAAAGAGCTTTGTCGTGGTCGAATTCAGATGTACACAAGTGTTTGTGTGCTAGAATGACACCTGTCTCATGCAGATATAGACACACATAGACACAGAGAGAATCTCATGACCCATGAAAATAAGTTTCTCTCTTAATTCTAAAATTACAATCCCTACATTTCTGATGTTACACCATCGCCTAAGAAGATGCTTTGAATAATAGGCAAGCCCTTTTTGTTGCTGTTGTTTAACGTGACACCTAGCCTGCAAAAGGGTTCTTTTTTTGTACCCTCCGGGAAGTGCTGAACAATAACACCCATCACCCCCTCCCAATTAGCCATTAGCTGAAAATATCTAGAGCATGGTGGAGAAGGAAACACGGCAAGGACACCGGGGGAAGACAACCATCTGTCAAATATACTTTGATTTGGATTCCAGCACCGAGCAGAGAGTATTATGGCCTTATAAGCCCCTTCATTATTCTGTGATTCTACAATCTTGAGTCCAGGGCAACACGTGGCTGCATATGCTGCTAAGGACAGGGTGCGGGACAGTTTATCTTTATGGGGAGTATGCCCACCAATATATATTAACCAGACTGGCTCGTGAGCCCAGGGCAACACGTGGCTGCATATGCTGCTAAGGACAGGGTGCTGGACAGTTTATCTTTATGGGGAGTATGCCCACCAATATATATTAACCAGACTGGCTCTTCTCTCTTTCTTGATCCCCGGAGACGCTTCTGGTAAGTCTAGAAGTTTCTAAGTGGAAGACTTCACGAAACTCAATACGATCTCTTCTCACGGCTGATCTTCCCACAGCTGAGTATGAAAGTCCACAAGCTTTTGAAGCCTGTGATATTTCGTACTAAGAGATTTGTCATTTACATTTCCACGTCAGCCACAAAAGAAAAGCTAAGCTCTAAGGAGACTAACACGCATGCATGCACAAACCTTCTGCCTATATTCAATTTTTTTTAAAAAAACCCTCTGGTTTATGGCCACAAAAGAAAAGCTAAGCTCTAAGCAGACTAACACACATGCACGCACAAGCCTTCTGCCTATATTCATTTAAAAAAAAAAACCCTCTGGTTTATGAATGTGGGATATTGTGCTTCTGCACCCACGATTCAAAAAAGCCAGGAAATAGCCCAATATGGCTGCACAATATCATGCCCGCATTGCCAGCAGGAAAAAGGATGCCAAGCTTTCCATAGCAAAGGGCAGCCTAAATCTTGACAACACCAACGCCAGCAGTCAAGATGGTCTACTCAGGGTGCCCTCTTCTGCTCACGACCCTTCACAAAGTGGGAAAATCCCAGAAGATAACTCCTTTTTTTTTCAGCAGTTAACTATTCCTCACCCAAACACAAAGCAATTGTCAAGGCTGTTTTTCAACAAGTGTGCATGATAGCGCTCTGGGGGAGCAGACGCAAGAGACGCCCAGGTCCTCTTCCCCCAAGCCTCTCTATTTCCATGCTAGCTGCAGACAAGAAAAAAACGTATTCTTCTGCCACCAGCACAGGAAGGAACTTGGCAGAAGAGGAAACAGAATTACCGGTCGCTTCCACCAGCTTGCTCGCCTGCTGACACAGAACCCCATCCCTGCCCTTGCATAGAATCCCTTTTTATGTATGGAGAAGCCTTAAGGATAAGGATAAGCCTGCTTTACTGAGAAAGACAGCCACAGACTTAGAAAGCCAGTGAGATGTAGCAGTGACAGAGGTCATGTGGGAGTCCCATATTTGTCTTGGGTCAGCGATTCTCTCAGCTTGACCTGCGACAGATGGCTGCTGTGAGGATCAAACAGGAAGATAGCCCTGAGCCCACTGGAGGAAAAGCAAGACTTAAGTGGATCTAATAGAACATGATTGAGTAGGGCATTATACAACTTCATGCAGATGTGTAGAACCATCTGGCCTCCCCTGATGCTTCAGGCTACCTCTTACACATTTCTGCCCATGATGCGCAGGGCTGATGGGCATTCCAGATCAAAGCATCTGAAGAGACCACTGTTTTCCCTATCCTTGAGTTAACAGATGCGTAAATCAAAACCGATACCCTTAGAATCTGCTGCATCGTCAGATGCCTTAAGCACCATTCCTGTAGCGTTAACTCTTCAGCCAGGTTCAATCTCCTCGTGGTTCAAACCCAAGCCAATACTGGCATGGCAGAGACCGAAATCACAGGAAAGGCAGAAAAGGAAAGACAAACCTGGCTTAATGGAAGGGAACGAAAGCCTCGGATCCTCGGGAGGGTGAGCGCGACGTTTTTTCCTCCAGCGCCGAGCCGGGTAGGAGTAAAGCTGGCCAGATGCCAAACCTTCCAATGAGCAAAAGGAAATCAGTGTGGGAAGTGGAAGTTTCAGAAACATAGGACTAAAGAACATTTCCCAACAGCCTCCTTTTCCAGAGATCAATAGAGAATTTCCAGTCCTTGCATTGCAGAAGACAAGCGGTGACCCTCCAGATGTTGCTGATAGGAGTCCCCTCATCTCTGAACTCTGGCACTGTTACTAGGGCTTATAAATTACAGGCTTCCTTCCCCTGCTCTTCATTCCACCACAGCTGCTGTTAAACCCCACAGCTGACAAAGACCAACCAACAAAAGCATCTAACCCCACCCCACCCCCAGCCTGTCCTCACAACTGGTTCCAATGGCATACAATTTGGATTTCACAAGGAAACTGAGATCGGCTTTACCCAAGGAACTCCTTCCATGTGAGCTACCGAAATAAAAGGGGCAGGATCTGCTCTCGATCATCCCAAAGTGCAGGACACGTCATAATGGGCTCAAGCTACAGGAAGACAGATTTAAGTCTGAATACCAGGAAAAAAAATTCCTAGCTGTTAGAGCAGTACGACAATGGAACTCATGACCTTTGGAGATGGCGATCGCTCTAACACTGGAGACATGCAAGAGGAAACCGGACAATCATCTGTCAGATCTGCTTTGATTTGGATTCCTGCATTGTGCAGGGGGTGGTGGATTCAATGGCCTCGTAGGCCCCCTCCAACTCAATGGCTATGATTCTAAGAGCAGTGAAGACGCAAAGCTATTAAAGGAAGGCAAAGATCATCGCTACACCTGGAACACTATAAACAGCAACCGGCACTTGGAAATCGCACAGCACCTCATGCTGCAGATTCTTATACGCTACATCTGCACCCAACCTGGTCCTCTGTGTCGCTTCTCCATCCAGATGTAGCAATTGCTCTGGGCGACTCCAGTCTGCGAGTCCAAGAACGGCAAACGAACACTCCTCTCTGCACATAGTCGGGCGTTGTAATTGTGACATTGCTCCATGGCATCCTTATAATACTGCTCACCAAGACTAAAAGGAAAGAGAAGGACAAACACGCATTAAAGAATGCCTTTCCCTACAAGGAAGAAGGGAAGGACAAACATGCATTAAAGAATGCCTTTCCCTACAAGGAATATTGTTCAAAAACAGAGGGGGACGTGATATGTGGCTCTCCAGATGTTTTCAGACCGCCATTTCCATCCCCATAATAAAAACTGGCTACAGTTGATGCAAGTTATAAGCCAAAAACATACTGAAAGCCATAGATGCTGTTTACGAGTGCATGTTTACCCTCACAATATCATGCTGGAAACCTGATACTGTACTTTCTTTCACCAGGAAGGATTTAAGTTAAACAGCACAGGGGCTTCTGAAAGTAAATGGCATCCTTAAAGAGTCAGCCCGATAGGAAGCTGTTATAGTCCAACGTTTAAGGTGCCAAGGTCAAAATCCAGTTAAAGTGACAAAAGAGGGATTAGCAATTTTGTTCCATAGCCATCTTAGCAAAATGGGCAGATAAAAAGTTCTCACTGTGGAGGAGAATGATGTAACGGTGAGAAGAGGCCCTAAATTTTGAGGATCCATCTTTTAAAAACCTGAGATGCAACAGCTAGGAATTCTTAACTGAACAGGCTATAGTTTCAATGATTTCAACAGCTAATTTTTTTTTTACACAAAAGTAACTGAGGGAGCAGAACAGAGGGAAGGGTAGGCATCCGCCTGCTAAGATAGGATTTGACCTTTGCTGCCAGAAAAGAAAAAAAAGAAAAAAGGTAAGAGTTGGGGCTCCCTGGAAAAGACCCCGATGTTGGGAAAGTGTGAAGGCAAGAGAAGGGGAAGACGGAGATGGTTGGACAGCATCATCGAAGCGACCAATGTGAATTTGACCCAACTCCGGGAGGCAGTGGAAGACAGGAGGGTCTGGCGTGCTCTGGTCCGTGGGGTCACGAAGAGTCGGACACAATTTAACATCTGAACAACAACAACTTTTCACCAGCCAGTATCTCTCCTCTATGTCCCCATCTCCTATTTAGAGGCCACACTATGGTACAAATACTTTGCTTATTGTTATTCCATTCTTCCATCCCCTTGTAATCAGTTTTTATGTCTTCAGATTTAAACTGGACCGCTCTTGTGTCTCTTGTCTTGGCAGGGCTCATGCTTCTGGTCAACCCAGTCCTATCATGCAACCGGCTTCTGGCTTCTAAGTCTCCGTTTTGGCAACTGAATGCAGGTACCAAACTGCCATTGAGTTGAGCGGGTTGGCCACTGACATTAAGAGACCAGAGTGAGGGTTAGGGTTGAGGAAGAGGAATAAGATGGGGAGTTGAGACAAGGTGAAGGAAATGGGAGAATTCAAGTTTAGAAAAGTTACAAACAGAATAGAAACGGAGTGTTTGACAACCAACCAGCCTAGCATTACATGCATTTTGTTCAAACCCTGAAAATAAAGTTTGACTCTCTTCTGTTGAAAACAAAAAAAGAGGAGGAAGCCAAAGCAAGCCCCATCGTTGGACCTCAATTATAAGTGGATCCCATCTTTGAATTTTAGTCATAGAAAGCCACTTTTATCCTCTACCTGCATTCCCACTTATAACCTTTGTGCACCTATATCCACCATACAATGCAGATTATATCCACCTTTATTGCTAGATCTATTTAAGGGAGGGTATCTCCTCACCCTCACTCCAATTATTTAAGCCATCATTATTTTCAGTTTTAAAGATAAGTGATTGTAATTTGCATCCTTTTCTTAGGGGCAAAGAAGGGCAAATTCGCACACACACCTCCTTTCTGCTGGCACATAAGGGAGGCTCATTCTCTCCTACTTACAAAGCCTTTTCCCCCCCAAAAATTATTTTTGCATGCCAGGAAGTGACTTTTTTGTCCTCCTGGACCACTTAATTTTTCTACTCACAGTAAAAAATGCTATTTATATATATATATAGTATTTGCATCCGTTTCTTAGGGGCAAGGAAGGGCAAATTCACACACACCCCTTTCTGCTATATATTCACAGTATATAGTATTATATACTGTGAATATATAGACTGTGGATATATATTTTGCATGCAATATTTTTTTGCAAAAGGAGGGGTATTTCTTGAACTGTGAATATATATTTTGCATGCAATATTTTTTTTGCAAAAGGAGGGGTATTTCTTGAAAACGCGCTTTCATTCCCAGGGCTCTCTTTTCTCCTCACTCCCAAGCCCCAGATTTAATTGAATGCATTTAAATAAATTTATTTATTTCTATTTTGGGGCGTTTAATCATCTTTCTCACTCTCCCTCATGGGGGTGGAGGGAGAGATTTAATCTATCTGGGATTTAAGGGGCACTCATGGCTGCCAAATTAAAAAATGCTGTATTCTGATTGTCGTAAGCCGCCTGGGGTGCTTTTTAAAGGAGAAAGGCAGGTTAGAAAAATATTTTAAATAAATAAATACAACTTTTCATGGGGGTGGGGAAGAAACACTATCTGGGGTTTAATGGCTGCCAAATTAAAAATGCTGTATTCTGATTGTTGTAAGCCGCCTGGGGTGCTTTTTAAGGAGAAAGGCAGGTTAAAAAAATATTTTAAATAAATAAATACAACTTCAAGGCCACTCTTTTTTCTCTTTCCTCCTTCCCAGCCCTGCCCACTTGTTTCCGACCTATGGGAAGTAATAGGATACTTTTTATTCTTTTAATTTTTGTGGGGTTTTTTCCCCTCAAAACTCTGCTCCCGGACAAAAAAAAGAGGAAACAGCTGCCCCTTCTCCTCCCCCGCGACCACCCCCGCGGGACGAATGGATTCTTCCCCAACAGCCGTCCTGCGCGGGCTTCTCAAAGGTTCGGGCTGTACCACTAGAACCGAAAAGGGGGGGGAGAAGGGGGGGAAAGAAGGAGAGTTTCACTCACAGCTTCACCACATTCTGTACGACCGCCGCCATCTTCCCCTCTGCCACCTGGGGCCGCGGGCGGATCAACTGCGCATGCGCCGCCGCTCCATTGGGGCTTCTCCGACCGACTGTTCCCCCATAAACATTCCGCTCAAACCCGAACCAGGACGCATGCGCATCGCGACGGCCGTCACCGCTCACGCCCAGGGGAACGAGCGCCACCTACTCCTCCCACGGCTGTCAAAGACCATTACCACGCACGCGCAAAGGGAGATCGATCCCCGGGACGCCTCTCGCGCGACCTGCCGCTCGCCAGCACTGCGCATGCGGAACAGGAACTCTTTTTTGGGGGGGGTGTAGCTGGAGAGAAATCGAGGGCTCGCGAGGCAGAGCCGGTCTGGAAAGCGCATGCGCGAACCTTGTTGGATTTGGCGGGAAAGCCGCCGTGACTCAAAAAAAAAATTCCAACGCAAATAGGAGGTTTTAATTTGGCAATAAATTGCTAATTTATGCAAAAGCTTACACACCCGTTGTGGAAATCTAGTTTTATTTACTCCCATAGCTAAGGATGAATGAAATCACTTCATAAAAAGTGAAAATGATGGATCCCCTCCCAGTTCCAAGGCTTTCCCCGCCGTTGCTGAAAAACGCGGATGATAGTGAACGCTATTATATTAGCGGATGCTATTACATAGCGTGGACTCTGGCTCGCTCTAGTAGCTAATTATGAGAAACTCATCTTTAGAAATAGATATTTCTAGGCTTTTTATATTTTGTGGTCGTGGATAAATGAATCAGCGGATAAGCGCATGCTGATCCTGCCGATAAGCTTTTAAAAATGAGAGAAGGTGTGGGATGTAAGATGCACAAAGGAGTTTCAATTGCTGATGAAGCCTATTTTAAATTGTTAATAAACGCATTTGAGCTGAAAACGCAGCCCCAGCCTCCAAAGCAGATGATGCCATGGACTGAATGCAGTGCCCATTCATTTGCAGCGCTAAGCAGAACTTCCTCGAAATAAAATAAAGCCCATTAAGCCGAATTGTAGGCGTTAATATCGTTTTTAATATGTGGGTTTTTTAATGTTTTGCAAACCACCCAGGGTAGCTAGCGTCTTGCCACTGGGATGGGCGGTGAATAAATAAAGGGCACATGAAGTGCAAATTTAAATCTTTCATTTAAATAGAAATTGTACACCGCATGCCATAGTGAAGAAGGCTGATTTCCTCCATCAGTCGTGCAGGCGCTGTTAAAAGCGGATGGTCTGTTTTGAGGCCCTTTCTAACCGTTTTGTTTGTTTCTGAACTAGATTAGGACGACCCTTCAAAAAGAGCCGAGGTCGGGCGCTGGCAGCCCGTCGGTTGTTGTCCGGCCGACGTTCCCTTCGTTACTCTCCTCTGGAGATGACTGGATATTTGTGGGGGCAAATATTTGGGCACCTTTAGGCATAAACCGGGTTTCCTTCCAGCGAAGCCCTTCAAATAAAATATTTACTTCTGTAAACCGCAAGCTATTTCAGGGACCACATCTCCCATTACGAGCCTCCTCGCATGTTAAGATCAGGAAAGGCCTTTCTCTCTGTCCCACCGCCTTCACAGGAGGGCTTGGTGGGGATGCAGGACAGCGTCTTCTGGGTGGCTGCTCCCAGACTCTGGAACTTGTCCCACTGCCTTCACAGGCGGGCTTGGTGGGGATGCAGGACAGGGTCTTCTGGGTGGCTGCTCCCGGAGACTCTGGAACTCCCTGCCACTGGAGGCCAGCCTGGCCCATTCTTTGCAGTCCTTCCACAAGCCGGCCAAGACCTTTCTCTTCAGGCAGGCTTTCCCTCAGCAACGGGCTACCTGAATTTAAGATGGATCATTACAGCCTACCAATTTGAATGGTGTTTTTGTGGTTGTTTTTTTTTAAATATTGATTTTGTTTATCATTTCTCAGAGTGGGCTGCCTGAGTGGGATTTTAAGATGGATCATAACAGCCTACCAGTTTGAATGGTTGTGTGTGTGTTTGTGTGTGTGTGTGTGTGTGTGTGTGTGTGTGTGTGTTTTGCATTTGGTCCTTTTTCATCATTGTATACTTCCTGTTTTTAGTTTAAAATATTGTCTTTTAACGATGTGAGACACCTTTAACAATGTAAGCTGCCTTGGGTCCTTTTAAAGGAGAAAGGCGAGGAATGAATGAATGAATGAATGAATGAATGAATGAATGAATGAATGAATGAATGAATGAATGAATGAATGAATGAATTTGAACCCTTTAGAAACCAAAACTCAGTCTGACAGATGTGCCCATTTAAGCTCCGGGCACGGAGTGCTAAATTTTTTCAATTCTGGATTTATTTGCATCCTGTCATTTTAGGGCTGAATTATAATTTTTTTCTCTCCCTCCCCCATGTCTTCTCATCTTTCAATACCCATTCAATTACCTGCTAATGTCTTCTTCATGCTGACAGTAACTATGGCATGTGGCAGATGCAAACAGAGGAGAAATTCCCTTTTTTAATAGACTACCACAAATCATCAGACAGGAATTAAAAATAGAGAGAGGTTCAAACGCTGGATGGAATGGGATGGAAAGCAGCCTTTCTCTATTCCAAATCCCGGTTCATTTCATTCCTTTTCCACAAGCTGCCCCTCTTGAGACTAGGAGAAAAAAAAATCCAGATGTGCATAAGAGGGCTTGGTGGGAGAAACACAAGGAGTCCAACGAAGCCAAGTGCTTAAAACTCTTTCCGGATAACTTATAATTTACGGTAATTATACAGGCTACACATCGCCCTCACTCAGCAAGCTGGGGATTCAATTTACCATTATCCACGCTTCAGCAGCTTGGGCAGGATCCTTTTCCAGCACGCTGGGATTCTCAGATGCTCCACCATCCAGCTGCTAACTTATGGGAGAGTCTGCTGATCCTGCAAACTTGTACAAGATTCGAATGGTTGGCAGAATAAAGGAGGAGGAAGAACCCCCATTAAACAAGAATTGGAAGTGAATAAATGCTAGGAATACGGCACCGACCAGTAAAGGAGGTGATATACAGAACAGCGAGGACAGGCGGGCTGTGCAATCCCACAGCAGGACTCTGAGTAGGCATGTCCATTTATATAGCACTCCGGTAACGCCTGCGCGTCGTACAATCCTTGCCTTTTGTCCGCACACAAAAGTCTGCCAGGTGGCCCATCCTACATCCATCCATCGTTTCACAGTTACCAGCACGCAAAATATAATTGGTTCCATAGCAACCTGAGCTAAGAGATCATTTTAAAAGGGGGGGAAATTCGGGCATGAAATATACATTTGGCATTGTGTGGTCACACTGGCTTGAAAAGAGGGCAGTCGGCCAGCTGCTGGAAACCCCCCGAACTGTTCGACTTGGGGGAACATATATTTGCTAAGCGAAGCACTTGGAGAGTTGGAAGGGAGCACATAATTTTGCAATGCATGTTGCTCATAATTTTGGCTCACGGGAACATTCTTTTAGTAAGAATGGATTGCTCCATTAGGGGATAAATTTCATACTCTGAGTTCTCTGCAAGCCAGCTGCATTCAGACAGTTTTTTGGGAAGCTTTCAAGAAGAAGAAAAGCCCCCCCTTTTTTTTTTTAAAGTTTGCTACTCTACTTTTTCTTATATCTTCCAGAAGGAATTCTATGGCTGTGGTCACTATAAAAGCAGAGTGGAGAAAAACCGACGATTGTTAAAAACCAAATTGATTTAAATCGTGATTAAAAAAAATTTTAAATAGTCAAAAATCTGATTTTTAAAAATCTGAATCATGAATAAAATTGTGATTTACATCAAATCCACCCTGCTGTAAAGAACTGTCAGAGGCTTCCTAGGAAAACCCCTTCTTATGTAAATGGCATAAGATGTGCTGGATGAATCAACAGCTCTGTATAGTTCAGCCTCCTATTTTCATAGTCTGTACATAACAAGAAACAAGTTTGTGTGTCCAGTGATTTCATATACATAGTTCTGAACGGGTTATAATAATGATGATGACCAGGAAGGAGTAAGGATATAAAGTTAAGTTGCACATCCAGAAGCAGATGTAACTGAGTCAGAACTGGTAGAACGTAACTTAGATGTAACTGAGGCAGAACAAAAAGTTACGGATGCAGTTACGCCTGCTGCCATACTGGGGCCATACTCGGGGTTGCTATTTTAAAGACAGTTAAATAATATGAGCATATGAGGTGAGCAAAATATAAAAAATATCATGACACCGCTGTGCGGATTGCTAAGTAGAATCAAAACAAACAAAGGAAATTAACTGGTGACTCAGTCTTAAAATCTGAAGTAATTTCCTGAGTTGGCAAGTTTCCTCTTTTGTGACTAATGGCAGAGACACTATATTCTTCCCACTTGGCTCTGGTTAATGGACTTTGGAGCATTAGGTAGAATGGAAGTAACTTCGGGAAGCAAATTCCAGGAGGCAGAAATGCCACGGCCCTTTCTCCCGCGAGCTTCTTCTTCCCGGGTCCTCCACCGGCCATGTCCTTCGTTCGGAATAGCTGTTGCACAACCTCGCCGAGAGATCCTGAACTCACTCGCTATGATAACGATCATGAAATCCTAGAATAACTTGAGTTGGAAAGGGCTTAGAAGATCATCGAATTCAACCCCTTGCTCAAGGCAGGAATCCCAATCAAAGGATATCCGACAGAGGGTGGTCCAACGTTCCCTTGAAGGCCTGCAGCGTTGGGGCGCTCCCCACCTCCTGAGGTCATGGATTCCATTGTTGTACTCCTCTTACAGTTCAGAAATTTATTTATTTTTTGTTCCCGAGATGCAGCCTGAATTCGGCTTCCTGTAGCTTGACCAGAGGATTCAGAAGAGAAGATTCCCTGGAAAAGCCCCTGATGTTGGGAAAGTGTGAAGGCAAGAGGAGGAGAAGGAGACGACAGAGGACGAGATGGATGGAGAGGGTCATCGAAGCGACCAACATGACTTTGACCCAACTCCAGGAGGCAGTGGAAGACAGGAGGGCCTGGTGTGCTCTGGACCATGGGGTCACAAAGAGTCGGACACGACTAAACGACTAAACAACAAAAGCTTGACCCTATTATGACATGTCCTGCCTTCTCGGATGATCGAGAACAGATCCTGCCTCTCCTCTGTAGGACAACTTTTCAAGTCTGTGAAAACGGCTCTCCTATCTCCCCTCCATCTTCTTTTTCTTAAGGCTAAACGATTGTGATAATCTGAGAATTTGCCAAACTGGAAGGGACGCTATCGATCATCAAGTCCTGACACAGCCATTACTGTTTGGCAGAGTAAGACAACTGCCTCAAGCAACAGATAGTGCCGGTCAGAAGTTGATGCTTCCAGCTTTCTTTGGAACCCTCTGGGCTTTCAGAAGACAGAGCAGTTTTGCACCCTCAGGTATTGGGGTAGGGAACACCATCCTCTCTTCTGACATGACTCAAAAGATTCCCTTGCTAGCCCAGTCAGCTTCTCCACGGAGAATATCTCCTTGTTTCATCTGTGCCGAAGCACAGACGCATCGTTCAGGAGGGTGGAAAAGTTCGTTTTTCTGCACAGAATTCATTAGAAATGGGGGAAAGTAAGGAGAACGGCGTGCGTGGCTCCTCTTGGGTTCAAATTTATTTGTGGATTTGATCAGCAGAGGAAAAAAAATCTACAGAAACAAAAGTTGCTGTCCTGTATGCCTCCGTATTACCATGGGAACGCTGTCCACACAAGGATTACAATGAGGCCAGGGAGAAGGAGAGGATGATCATGGATAGCCTACCAGCTTCTGCCCCTAAAAACACTAGTGTTTTCAAGAATGGCGCCTTGCATCGGTTTGAATAATGTGTTGTTCCTCAACAAAGGAATAATAGGTTATTGAAAAGCAGATTGGAAAAAGCACAAGAGAGAAGCAGGAAGGAAGACTAAGAAAAAGGGTTTCCCAAGGCAGACTGAAGCTGGCTGAAATGATAAAAATTGACTTAAAAAATTAAAAAAGAGAGGTCCATATGTGCATCTTCCACTTTCGTCAATCCTTTCCGATCGTACGCCAGAAAGAAGATTCTGCTCTCAAAAGTTCAAAACAAGATTGTCTTTGCGAAAATTCTGCGAAGAAGCCATGCAGTAAGACCCCCAAACCCACAAGGGATCAGTTCCAAGCACCCCTTCGCATGCCTATTGAAAGGCATGGATTATAGTGACCACTATTATAATAGCAAATGGTCCAGGGGTGCCACAAACAAAAAATTATAACTATGAAACTCGACTTTGGATCAGCACCAAACTTGGCATGGATGTAGCAACAAGTCTAGTCTTGTTCCGTGTCATATTTGGGGATGTTTGGGCAAACGGTTTTCGGGTTATGATTTTTGTTTAAAGTCATATCCTGCTTCTGTGCAGAAGCAAGTGACCTAGAGCGCCAGCTGATTTAAAACAGATCACACACATTGATAAGACAAAATTTGCATAGTTCAAAAAAGATTGTCAGTTCCTGCTTCTGTCATTCACAGTTGCTGAAACACAGCCTTGACGATGATCTTGTGTTTGGGTCAGAAGTGGTTAAGGAATGAAAAAGAGGAGCCTGCTTCTGGGATTTTCCCTTGCATGGTGTCACTTTGGAAATGGTAGTGAACGGAAGAGGGAATCCTGTAGAGACCATCTTGACTGCTGATACTAGTATTATCAACATTCAGGCTGACTTTTGCTATGGAAAGCTTGGCATCCTTTTTCCTGCTGGCAACATGAGCATGATATTGCGCAGCCTGGCTTTTTTGAATTGTGGGTCCAGAAGCACAATATCCCACATTCATAAACCAGATTTTTTTAAAGAAAAAATACTGAATCAAACATCAGTTCACTCAAAACCCACCTTTCCTGTATAGCCATAGGGTGTGGGGGAAATCCTTGCATTTAAACATCATCATCCCTCCTGACAGAGGCTAAAAGCAGACCAAATGCTTGGAAATAGACACTTGAAGTCGTTCACCCTTGTGTTTAAAAGTGTGATCGCCATTTCCAGCATTATTTGCTCTGTAAGATGGCAAATACAGCTATAACTCTGTGTTAAACAATGTAGTTTTCCGAGTCATGAAAACAGGTTTTCGTGCGTCGCAGGATTTAGGGTCTCTTTTGAATGAATTAATTCGAGAGAGACCCCGAATCCTGGGAAGCGTTCGCCCTGAAATGCCGCAGCCTAGGGCTGTTTAGTTCTTGGAATCCAGCCAACAGCAGCATCACCAACATCTGGTGCGGATTCAAGTTCGCAAGGAGGCCAAGCTATCAGGCCAAGATTTCCATCTTGGCTTTAGACCAACGGGCCCCGTTTGCGTTTGCATTCTCTCCTCCAAGTCATTAGGGCTGCTTATAATCGCTCTCTTGGCAAAACAGATAGTCCTATTCAAGAGTCACCTTCGCCTTATATAGTTCGTCCCTTGCAACGGCCGTTCGCCTTTTGCAACAGCCAACGGGGGCCACGGGATGGGGAAAAAAAGGGGGGAGTCGCTGCCTGGCGACAAGGCAGAAGCTTTTGTTCAATTAATGAGCCACTCGTTATTCTTCTCTTGCAAACACGGCAAGCTGCCCCGGACAGCAAGGCAAACAATGGGTAGGGCCTGCCCTGAATAGAGGAGGGCTGACAGTGTTCAGACCTCATAGCTCCCCCAACCCATTTATTTAATCAGAAAATGAGGACATGGGAAACGGTCTCGGACGGCGTCACGAGGCTGGACGCGCTGGTGTATATGCGAGGACGGTTTGGAAGCGGTCGTTCTCAAAGCAACTTTTTCAGAGGGTCCGCCGATCCACGCTTGTGCACGCCAATCCTACCTAGCAAGGGGCAAACCATCATGGAGTGACATTTCTGGCATGGATCTGGAGGGTCACCCTGGCCCACCCCGGAACCTCTACGCTAAACATGGCTTTCCAGCATTTCAGACTCAACGTATTTTCCCCTCCCTGTTTCTTATACTGGAGGCCTTCGAGAGAAAATTGGACCACCCTCTGTCAGATGCGTTTTGGATTCCTTGCCTTGAGCAGAGATGGGGTTGGACTTGATGACCTTCGAGACCCCCCCTTCCTCCTCCATGATTCTACTTAGGCGTGTTGAGGATCGTACGAGAGCTTTGCCACATGTAAAGTCTGCCCTCTGCTACCTAAAAATGAAGGCATGAACCCCATCCTCGTTGGTCTGAATAATAAAAAAAACATGATTTAAATAGAGATAAGAATCTATATTCTATTGAGATACCACCTTAGTCCAAAGAGTTCAGCCTTCTTTTCTACATTGACTGATGAGGGCGCACCACGATTTCCATCAGAGGTCTTCCCCCCCAGCTCTACTTGAAAAGGCTTGGGGGGGGGGCTGAATAGGAGCCTCTGAATGTAAAGTCGCTCTAAGACTGCCCTATAACCTGCCCCACACGAAAGGCATAAATTGCTCCGAAACAGTGCAGGGCTGGAATCAACCATGGTTTTGGAAGGGAAAAAAAAGCACTACCATGCCTGGAACAGATAGGAAGGGGGACATAGCCAAATATACCCCTTAAATGTAGAGAAATGGACAGCAGCGTCGCTGAATTGGCCATTTGGAAAGAACCCCCATCAAAAAGGAAGGGGAGTTGGGGGGGCGGTGTAAGGTCATACTCTGCCCACCTTGATCTACAATTTAGAAATGTCTTCCCCCGAAAATTCTGTTCCTGCAGCCAAAAAAAGCAAGTTCTCCATTAACTCAATGGCCCTTAGCAACTCAACTATCCTACGATGCTCTGAATTAGGTGAGCCAGAGCTCAAAAGCCTGCAGGGGTGGCTCAAGGCCCACCATCCCAGTTCTCTCCAGGCCCAACCAGCCCTCCCACGTCACCCGCCACCCCTCTGACCCAGAAAGGGCATGCCATGCCAACTTCTGGCTTCTGGGGCTTTTCCTTTCCCTTGTCCCGATAACTCATCCTTCCCACCCGCCCGATTCCTAACCCTGCGACTCTCTTGGAGAAGCAGAAACACACCTGGGCGCTTGAATATATTTCTGCACAGGGACACAGCAGAACGGGGCACAAAGAGGGTGGCGTGGCAGAGAATTCTCGGAGTGTGTACCCAGGACGGGCAGGGAGAGCTGCCCCCCAACCCCATTTCTGCTTCTCTTGGTGGAGAGGAAATGCACCCCGTACGCCAGCTCTTTGTATAGGAGGAGGAAATATATTTATTAGTCAAGCAGCATTCAGGCATCTGTCTCTCTCGCTCTGCGCATGCGTGTGTGTCTCTCTCACACACACATGCACAGGGCATCCAGCTGGCCCAGTTTAACAGGAGCACACTCTTATTTACAAAACACTTGTGCTTCCAAACGCCCCGCGTCCGTTCTGTCTAATAACCTCCTCGTCACGTTGGGATCTGCTGCCTGCTGGAATCCTGGAAGGGAGCGCTCCTGTCCCCCATCTGATGCCTGTCCATCACCTGGAGAACGTCGTCCAAGATTGAGGGGCCCAAGTCCATGTGGAGGGAGAGCAGAGAGCCGGCGTGGGAGATGGCGGCCTCGTCCTCTTTGTCTCCCACTCCCAGCCCGTTCAGAGGGGCCTCCGGGGGTCCGGCCTCGGACTCCGAAGTCCTCCCCTCTTTCGGCGGGTCCGGCCTCCGTGGAACCGCCGGCCCCTTGTCGTCAAGGTGGAGACGGGGCGGTTTTGGTGGGGCTTGAGCCGCTGGCAAAGTTAGCGCCTGCAGGCCGCCGATGACCGGGAGGGAGATGGCGTTCTTCAGAAGGGGAGACGGGATGTCCAGAGGGGGTGGGTCGTACCCCGAGATGGTGGCCGTCCGCGAGAACTCGAAAGGCACCACGTAGCGGTCGTTCTCTTCGGGACCCAGACTGCTCTCCGACCGCGGCAGGAGGTGGAATTTCCCTTGGAGGAAAGAAATGTCGCCAAACATGTCGTTCTCGCCGCCGCTCCCGATGTGGATGGTGTGCCGGAAGTCTCCCAGGGGCGGGCTGATCATGTCGGAAGAGAGGATGTCGCGGAGTTTTTCCTTTTTCCCTCTCCGGCTTCCCCTCTTGAGATAGATGGGCACTTTGGTGGCGGACATCTCGGCAACCGCCGTACAGAGTGGAACGTGGGCAAGAGGAGGAGACGCGCTAATCGGTGCCGTCCTGACCCATCCGCGACAAAAACGTGGAGGAGGCAGAGTCAAGAGACACCGTCTTCAAGAAGACGGCAGGTATCAATGACCCACCAGGTCAATGACACCAGGTAATTCTCCAGCGCTGGCAAAATCGCCTTGGCGAAGCGAGCTGTTCCCAGGCGATCTGTTTTCTGCAAAGATCAATTCCAGACAGCCTTCTGTCAGCAACCACAAGGACTCTTTAGGACAAGCGACCTCACCGAGCCCGAGGGAGAATCCTTCAACAAGGCCGGTTCGCTCTTCTCTGTGTCTCCCAAAGGAAGCTGGGGATGACTCTGAAAAATAAAAGACAGAGATGAAGTTAAGCGCCCCATTTTGAGTTCCGATCCTCGGCACATTGAGGGGTCTTTAAGGCAATTTGGGATCAGCATTCAGCTCTAAAAACGGCTTTCCGAGCCTTCAAAAACAGCGACACGAAGCACCTCTGCACCTTGGAAAGGAGTCCGGTATTTTCCGATCCAAATATCGCCGATTTCTGTGCTGAGGTTGCCAAAGCGAGCCTTACTGGCGGCCTGGCGAGTCGGAAAAATTGGGGGTAGGTTGGAGCCAGCTAAACAGGGTTGCATTACAGGTGCGTGGTGCGAATCTTGCATTCACCTGCAAGGATCGAATGCTTTGGGGTGAGGAAACCCCGTTGCACCACAAGCGACCCTGCATAGCACTATCAAGACAGTCTTTCCCTTTAAAAGGAAAAATGTCTCAATCTTGTGAAATGTAAAACGTCTTCTGGAGTTTCCCCTCTGAAAGGGAGACAAAGCTATCCATTGCTTTTTAATAGTTGCAAACTGACACAGCGCAACAGTGATGCTTTGATAGGGATTTAAAAAAAACTCTTTCAAAATCTTGTGGATATGTTAGCAACCGTTAAAAAGAAATGCAAAACTTTCTTCCCACTTCCTCCAGAAGAGAGAGTGCGCAGTGGAAGTTTTCAATTTCTTAAGATCGTTAAAATGATTAGCAGGCAACTGTTTTGGTTCGATCCAAGGACTCACACATGCCTCTGAATTCAAAGGGAGCCCCGCCTCTCTGCTCAGTGCCTCCTTTCCCTCTCTTGAATCTGCTGAAGTCTGTTGCTTAAAGCAGCCATGTTTGTCAGTTTGAGCTGTTCAACTGAAAGTAATTAAACATTTATTCTTTCTCTTACTAATGTCTCCGAGTGCGTTATTGAGACTGTAATGTGAATGAGAGGAAGGGGTGGACTACTCTGCGGAATGTGAAGCTATTCCGCTCTCTGAATCCCTGCATTTCTGCGGGGTCGCTAAAGGCATTTCCCCCAAAATTCAACACTCTGCAACCCTTAAGCCGTCTGGCTGCTGTCAAAAGCACCAAACCAACCCGTTTCCGGAACAGAACAACAAGCGGGGCAAATGTCCAAGTAATCCGGCTCCGAATTTGTAGCAGAGACACAATTTGACCAGTGTGTGCGAATCTAATTCACAAGTCAGGCCATAATCCTATTCACTCTTGCCTTGGAATGAGTCTTCCTGTGACTTTTCTGAGCGACACGCGTCCGACGGCGCTGGCAGCCTCTCAGCACCGTGACAGGCTGGCTTCCAGACCTGTCATTCATCATAACACGGACCCATCACGTATGTCCTGTGGGAGCAAAGCAAGATGCCTCTGGCAGCCCCCCTACAGCCAACGGGGTGGCAAAAATATTCAACACAACCTTCCAAAAAATAAAAACGCTTTCTAGTTCTCTTGGACTCAGACTCTCGTCATCCTCGCAGGAACAAGACATCTCAAACTTTTGACTTCCTTGTTTAACCATCCCAAGGTGCGACCCAGTTTCTTAGATTTTCCTAAACTAGCTTCTTCCAGAGGTAGTCCAGTTACAATCCCCATCGTTTATGCTGTCTGGGGGCAGCGGGGGAAAGGACTCCAACACCCGGACAAGACCAGGTTGGTAGGAAAAGAGGCTTCTCTTATTTGAAGCCATGCGCTCTACAGTGGTGCCTCGCTAGACAGTTACCCCCGCATGACAGTTTTTTAGCTAGACACTGACTTTTTGCAATCACTATTGCGATTCGCAAAACTGATTCCTGTGGGGGAGTTTCGCTGGACAATGTTTGGTCCCCGCTTCGCAAACCGATTTTCGCTAGACTACGATTTCGACAGCTCCCTCTGCGCTCACAAAAACGGGTGTTTTCGGGACCTAAGCTTCGCAAGACAGCGATTTAAACAGCTGATCGGCGGTTCGCAAAGCGGCTTTCCTGTGGCCGATCTTCGCTAGACAACGACGATTCTTCCCCATTGGAACACATTAAACAGGTTTCAATGCATTCCAATGAGGAAGTGTTTTTCGCTAGACGATGATTTCGCTAAACAGCGATTTCAGTGGAACGGATTATCATCATCTATCGAGGCACCACTGTATCTCCCAATCCTGTTCAAACTAGAAATAGCTTCTGGCCCTTTCTCCTCACAGCAGGACTGTACAAGGACCAAGATGAAAGCAAATCTCAGAAGGCGCACTGATGTGTCCAAATGGCAGATGAGCAAGAAGCCTTCATTCAGGTTTTTCTCAAATGCACAAGGGCCTTGTTTGCTCAGTCAGAGAGCAGGGGGGGAAATATCAAAAATCTGCTGAATGCTGAAGAAAAGCGCAGGCCACCCCCATCCCGTTGGGGGGCCATTTGGGCTCCACGTCTGCCGGCTTGCACAAAAACCAAACCGACCCACAAACTTTCCAAACAAAGTCCGCACGGCTTACTAGCTCACAAAAGGGTTTAAGAGGGCGGCCCACCCACACCCACGGACTGTACTAGGAAGCTGTCCAAAAATTAAACTGAATTGTTGTCGCTTCCAAGACTGGGAAAGAACGAGAAAGCAAATTAGGGTTTGTTCGGGGAACGGAAGCAGGTGAGGTCTAAGGAGTGTTCTTGTTGATTCTGAAGGCGTTTGCAGCTGGAGCCTCAAGCCAGTATTGTTAAGAGCGACACACACACCCTTTATTTTTATTTGGTTCACACCGTCATAGATCGTACTTCAGGACATCTGAGGCACCTTTAAACCTAGGAAGCTCCTGTGCCCCTTTGCTTTGGTTTTCTTTAAATATGTGTTTTTAAAAACTTGGGTCTTCCGATTAAGATAAGCGGGGTGGGTTGGCGAGGGGCGATCCACAAGATTTCGGAAAACTGGCCACTGGACCTTCCGAGGTTGCCCATCCTTAGAATGGCAGCGCTGTGAAGGGACCCCGTGGATCATGGACTCCAGCCCCCGTCCAGGAGACCCCCTGGTGGGAATCCAACTCCCAACCTCTGAGACCTAAACCACTGACCTGCTGCTGTAGATATATCTCATGTGTGTCTTGTTCTACAACTGCCGTTCTTACAGTTGTGCCCCACTTAACGATTGCCTCGCTTAACGAGGAAATCGCTTTACGATGAGGTTTGTACTATCGCAATTGCGATTGCAAAACGATGGTCTAAATGGGGGAATTTCGCTTAGCGATGATCGGTTCCCTGCTTCGGGAACCAATTTTCGTTTTACCGCGATCAAAAACAGCTGATCATTGGGTTTCAAAATGGCCCCCGGCTGAAGAAAATGGCCCCCCGCTGTGCTTAGGGACGGATTCCTTGCTGCACAGGCATGGAAAATGGCCGCCCCTATGGAAGATCTTTGCTGGACGGTGAGTTTTCAGCCCATTGGAACGGGTTAACCGGGTTTCAATGGGCTTTTTTATTTCGTTTGACGATGTTTTCGCTCTACAGCAATTTTGTTGGAACAAATTAACATCGTCAAGCGAGGCACCACTGTATTAACTGATCTTTTTAAATGGGAGATGTTTGGAACGGATGTTGCCATTTCTTGCAAGAAGTCCGCTCCTGGTGAATCTTCTGATTTTTCCAGACTGATCCCAGACAGAACGTCTGGTGCCCGCCGGCAGCGTAGAAAACCTAAAATAAAACTCCAAGTCTCCTAGTTTCATGGGACTTCTGAGCACATGCCCCCCCGGGCAAGAGGAAAGACAGACAGGGTGTCTGCATTATGAAGATTCCCCAGGATAGTTATGCCTTCCTCCGATTAAAAAAAAAAATCCGGTTTCCCAGTCACTGAAATAAGATAGGCTTTCTTCCTTGGCACATACAAAGTTCAAGTTTTTATTCATCAAAGTGGGCATTTATGCCACGGGAGAGTCCAAAGGTACCACCTACGCATTCTCCAAGGATCTCGTGTCAGTGGTTTAGGCCTCCGGCTGTGGAGCCAGAGGCTCGGAGTTCGATTCCCGACTATGCCTCCTTGATAGGACTCCATCGTTCAAAGGGTCCCTTTCCAGCTCTGCAATTCTAAGATTATAAAATGTGTCGTCTCACATAATAAGGGCTCTGATTCCCCACAACCACATTTCCCCCCCCTTACTGCTGATTTCTTATATGATCCATTAGATCCTTTGCCAAGGTTTGCCCCCCGCATTCAGCGAACAAAAACATCTTTTGAGCCTGTCCTTGATCCGCCTCGGGAGGAGAAAAATGTCGAGAACAGCAACGAAAGAACTAAATGTCACGCCGTGGCCTGTAATTAACAACACTAATTGAGGGCTTCTTCACCGAGTAATAATTACTATAATCTCCCTACTGTGTTTGGTGTGTGTATATTCTTTTAAATTGCGTTTTTCAATTTTTTTTTTAAGCAACGATTTTTCTTCCACAATAAAAACAAAACAGCAGCTCGTCAGGAATCAAACTCATCAGGGGAACCTAATTTTAATCCACGGGCTCGTTCTGAGGACAAAGCGAACGGCAGAATTCTAAACCCAGACCTTTTTTTTCCCCAGCCTCTCAGAATTTTTGGGAAAATAGAACGACCAAGGAGGGGGGGAAAGACCCACACAGGTCAACTAAGGTTCTCTGAAAAGGGGCAAGAGAAAGATAACCAGTAATAAAACTACAGTGGTGCCTCGCATAACGAGTGCACTGTTTAATGATGAATCCGCATAGCGATCTCTTTTTTGAGATCGCTAATGCAATCGCATTGCGATGTTTTAATGGGTAAAACATTGCATTGCGATGATCGGTAAGCGTTTCACTTACTGATCTTCGCATTGCGATGTTTTTTTTAAAACAGCTGATCGGCGGTTCCAAAATGGCCTACAACCTGGTTAAGAGAGGGGGTGCTTCCCAAAATCTGGGGTATCCCGGCCGCAGCATCCTGGAGGTACTTAGAAATTTGTTGATTTTCTTCTCTTCAAGCCCATATAAGCAGAGGAGGAAAAGCGGGACTCGCTTACCTTCCGCCATACCTGGGGGGGGAGCGAGTAAAAGGCCAGACCCTG